TCCCCAGGGCTCAGTTCAGAGCCAGGCTGGAGAGGGTGCTCAGACAGACCAGTGACGGGAGCAGATGAATTTGTTCCACAGAAGGGGAACCTAATACATAGAGGGTCTGTGACCTGCCCAAGGTCATGGGAAGAAGGAGTGTAGAGGGAAGAATGGGGCCCAACAAGCTACTGTGGGACTGGACCGGGTTCTACCTGGGTCCGATTTGTAGCTGTTCCAATCTTGGTCTTTTAGTCCTTTTCTGAAGTGGGGTTTAGACTTCGGTGGCCTGGGGAGCTTCTGCCTAGCAAGTGGATGTTCAGAAGATTATGTTTGGAAAACACTGATGGCTTATCTGGGGCCATAGAATCTTAACCTCCAGGATTCCGTGAACTCAAAATTGGGTGATAAACCATGGGAGATCTGAAAGCAGTCTTCCTATCATATCTTCTTGTGACCTCAGGAAAAATGGACCATGGTGGAACTGTTAGTCTTGCTATGAAGATGCCCAGGTCTGCAGCAGAGATCCACTGCCCCAAATTCAAAGGGTGACCTTGGCCTAGCTCTTCGCTGGCCTGGATCTAGATTTACCCACCTGCACTGTTTGGGGAATCTGGGTAAGGGAGAGTTGCCGGTATCTCTGTGACCCTGTTCTGAGAGACCCTTGAGTTTTTCCTATCGTTTGGAAAGAATAAGGCTCCTGATGCCCCTCCAGGCCTTTTCCCCAGAGGTCTAAGCATAAGCAGTCCCACTGGGCATTCATCACCAATGCCCTGCTTCTACTGGGGTTTTAAGGAGTATCTTGCTGCTTCAGTCTGGTGGGCCCCAGGTCTCTGCTGGGCCACCCACGTGGCAGCCACACATCATGCCACACTGACCTCCAGCTCACCTCTGAGGGTGCCCAGCCCCCTCTGGTCAGCAGAGCTCCCTGGCAGAACATCCCACTCTCAGACCAATCCTCTGACCTCGGGCCTTCCTTCTTGCTTCCCAGGCCCCCTCCCCAGACCAAGTGCCTACTCCTTCTGAACCTGGCTTCCTGCCACTCAGGATGGAGGGGTTGTGGAGGGGGGGTGACAGCTGTGTAAGCGATGGTGGCTGCCCCCTTCCTGCCCCTCCCCCCCAGCTGTCTCTCTCCCATGACAGCTGCCCAATCAAAGGGCCGGGGGCTTAGCCAGCTTCCCCCCCCCCCCACATGCAGGGATCAAGTGTCCTCCCTGGCTTTGTTCTAGTGCAAGAACAATCCAGGGGAGGGGAGGGCTCCTGGGGCCAGTTGAACCAAGTAGGCTGGCCCGCCCCTTGGGGGATTCCCTCTGCTCTACTGCCCGGTATGTCTGGACCACTAGAGACTGTGGACCCACCTGGGCTGCAGAAGGTTGGGAGAATACAGTCTCCAACTCCACCCCATAGCTCATGCCCACCTTAGCACTCCTAAGCAGTCTTTGATACTTACTCCAAAACACTCATGCTGGCCACACCCCATGATGCCGGGGAATGGTTAAGCATCAGGCATGGCAGGGTGTGGCAGGAAGGTGGACACTGGGCCTTGAAGAGGGGATTGACAGCCTTGAGAGCTCCTGGATCCCTTGTCCATCCCCTACTCTGTTTCATGCTCACCCTTGCTGATTAGCCTGGATCCACAGAACTGCCTAGCATCCTTAGACCCACAGGCCCAGCCTCAGCCTTTCGGCTCCCAGGACGGCCAATCATCACTAGTTTGGAGGGAGGATACAGCAGCGGATGGGGGAGGGGGGATGGACATGGACACAGAGACTAGGGGAGCAGTTGCAGGCTCTGGTTTCTTGATTCAAGTCTGTCTGGTAAAGTGCCAGGGAAGAGGAACATAGAAGGGTTAGAAGCTGATAAACTGGTAGATAGCAGAAATGCTATCCCCACTCCTTAGAGCCGCCCAAGAGTCTTCACAGCGGAGGGAAACCAAGGCAGGCTCAGGCCTGGCTCAGTGCTACTGTCTAACCAAGTTGGAAAAGCTCTCTAATTGCCGTTCTCCATGCTGAAGACTGTGTGGTCACTCTGCTGTCTAACAACCATCCATCCATGGATCCCCAGGCCCAAGGGGATTAGACCTGACCTCTGTGGTCCAGCCCCTACCAACTTCTCTTGTTGCCTCTCATCTCTATCCCACCCCTCATACATACCAGGCCACAAAATAGTTCTAGAACCTCCAGGCCTCAGACAGAGCCTTTGCCTGGCTGCAATTCTGGCTTGAAATACTTATCCCCTTCAATATCTGACAAAATTCTTCTGGAATGCCTCCTTCTCCATGGAGCCCTCCAACCTTTCAAATCAGATGAAATTCCTCTGGCCTCTGCTTCCCAAAGACAGGGCTACAAGTCAAAGGAGGCCCAGTGGGGCATTTCTGAGTCTATCTTTCTGGTACAGAAGAATAGGAAATTTGAGACAGGACCTGGCCCTAGGAGGGGGGTGGGGTGGGGCTCACAGGCCTTGTAACATTAGAGACCATCACACCTCAGAGTCTTGGGGATGTCAGCACATGGGCAGAATCAGGACATGCCTGGTCAGAATTCCAAGTTCCGGCTCAGCATCCTAGCCTGTTCCTGCTGGTGTTTGCCAGGCCTAGGGGCTCCCTGGGCATGTTGCTGAAGTGAGGAATTTGAGAGTTCTGAGAACCCAGAGTGGGTCCCCTAGCAGGAAGAGAAGCTGGTAGAAAACCAGGTTTTACAGCACTGAGGCGGCTTCAGCCAATCACAACTAGAAAAGCCTCACCAATCAAGAGAGGCACCTGAGGCCTAGGGAGGAAGGGGGTGGTTTAGAAGACGCATAGGTGGTGACAGGCAAGCCGGGAGAACCGATGGGTCCACCTGCCCAGCTCAGAGTCCTTTCCTTCAAGAGTAATGGTGCTGGAGGCTGCAGGAGAGCAGCGATGAGAGTAGGAGGGTGAACAGAGCCTGTCTGGGGACACAGGGTGGGGCAGGCTAGCCTCTCTGTGGCCTGGGCCTGCCAGGGTGTGTGGGCCGCCCGCTCCCAGCCCCCCACCCTGAGCATGCAAAGAGAACAATCCCCTTGTGTTTGGGCAGCCTGAGCCTGCATGCTGATGAAGGCTAGGGGTGGGGGCTGGGATAGGGGTGCTTTGAAAGTTGAGGGGGTTCCAGGACCTAGAGAGATAATATCCTCAAATGGAGAAACAATAGACTCCCCCGCCCCAGGTACTGGAACTGAGGCCACCAGGGTGACCCCACTGAACAGCGAGACCCAGAGATCAACTCCTGAGCAATGCCTGGGGTCTAAGAGCTCTTTACAGGGGGAAGAAGGGCCCCTGGAGGCACATGCCTTGCTGGTCTAGAAAGAAGGTAACCATCCTGGCCTTGGTGGGGACCCACAGGCACATTCTGAGAGAAGGGGTGGACCAAGGTACATCCCATTGAAGACCGTTCCCTTGGGTGCCAGGGTGGGGCGGGGCCCTGGGTGCCACAGGTCTCAAGATGGCGGGCCTGGTTTAGGAGAGTGAGGAGGTGGGCACCTCCCTCTCCTGGCCAGGCATGCATGAGGGCCAGGTTGAAGTAAGTGGCAGAGCCCCTTCACCTCCACCCCACCACAGTACCCAGGCCAAGAAGCTAGGTCAGAGCTGGAAATGTAGAGCCACAGGGAATGAGGGACCACTGTGTGCTCCCAACCATCATCTCCATCCCCCCTTGGCCTGGAGGTCCGTGTCTGGCTCCTCCAGGGACTGCAGAGAATGGGAAGGGGTGTGTGTGAGCCAGGAGCTGCAGAGAATGGCAGATGAGAAAAGAGACGAAGTAGAACCCGAACCTGGGGCATGAGGTCCAGAACTAAGAGCAAGCTCAAAGGACAGAAACAGCGAATAGGATGGGAGCCTCAAACCTGGTACCTAAGGTCCAAGAAACCCCTCCCTGAAGTGGGGTGTTCCCCTGGAAAACCAACGCCCCCCACCTGTGCAGGCCTCAGCCGCATTGGACAGGGACCGTG